CACACACACACACACACACACACACACACACACACACACACACACACTCTTTTGTTTGGTTCATTGTGAATTACAAGAAATCTTGTGACCAGGAAGGCCTTGCCTCCTCGAAACCACCTGTTGCAGGTATAGGAAGAGGTGTGTGTGTGTGTGTGTGTGTGTGTGTGTGTGTGTGTGTGTGTGTACTGACAACAACCATCACTATGGAGCAGTCCAATGCAAATAACAGCTGCTCTCTGCCTGTTTTGTTCAGGCTCAGTGTTGGGGGTGTGTGTGTGTGTGTGTGTGTGTGTGTGTGTGTGTGTGTGTAACCGTGATGAGAGTCAGATCGCGTGTCTCTGATGAATATTGCATGTCACCTCAGGTCGTCTGTCTTCCTGGTTTCCTGCAGTCTCTCAAATGTCAGTTTGCTCTAAACTCTTAGAACCTGAGCCCCATAGCTCTGCTTTTTAATGGAGGTTCATGTATTCTTCATTTGTTCTTCTGTAACGTTGTGTTTGCATCTTTGTGTAAAGCTAGACTTGATCAATCAACAGTAGGCATAAGTCTGTGTGAAGTGAGGTGAACCACATCATCTTGAACACCTTCAGAACCTCCCTCGTGCGTTACGTGTGATAAAGGAAGTTCTCTTTAATTTTACGTAGAATTATGTGACGAGAAATAAGGATTTAGATGTTTGCAACCCCAAATGTTTAGAACAATGATTTTCAAAACAAAAAAGAAATCTCCTGTTCACTTGATTCAACTTATTTTAGATGTTATCCCAGACAGCAGCTCCACGGTCAGTCAATGGATGCTCTGTTCAGATAAAGCGGGCTGGTGACTCTGTCTAATGGTCGAATGTACATGTACTTAAATACTGTGACTATTAGGTACTTTTACTTAAATTGAGGTACTTTTACTTACTAAACTACAGCCCCTTGACTTTTTTTTACTTTTTTCGACATACTTCATTATGACTATTTTAAAACTGTTGACATACTGTACGATTACTTTTTCGACATACTACACTTACGCTGAGCAGAGACGAGCTTGTAGTGTGGTCTGTGTGTTGGAGACGGAGAGAACAACATATGTCGTCATCTTGGTTTACTTTGTTTCCTGTTTTATTTTGAAGTTCCCTGCCTCTTGTGTCCTGTGCTTGTTTGACTTCCTGTCTCATTTGGGTTCATCCTCTGCTGTCTTTTCTTCAGAAGTGACAAATTATAGAACTAAAAACACTAACCACAACAAAGGTACGATTGTTCCAGATTATATTAAGACTCAAAGCTCATTTCAATCAGAGACAAGATGCAGAAAAGATAATTGTTTATTATCAATGGATGATGTGTGATGAGAAAGTCTTTAGTTTGTTCAATAACCTGTACTAGGTAACGAACGCACCCCCCAAAATATACACGCGAGACCGTCCCAGCCCACGATAACTTAATGCCACTAGCCACCGTCGTATCACTTATTTCAGGCTAAAAACGTCGGCCTTCCCGACTGCCAGATATCAACGGATTTAGGTGTGTGTGTGTGTGTGTGTGTGTGTGTAATAGTTGTGAGAGGACTGGGTGTACTCCAGGGTGGACCCGCTCTAGACGGCCACCGCTGGAGGAGGAACCCCGTGTGGTTGGGAACCTCGCTCGGTTATTAAGGGCAGCTTCAGGGCCCTGGCCCCTGGCCCTTAATTTAGACTCCAATCTAATCCCTACTGTTTCCTAATGCAGCTCAGCTAATGTCTAAGCATTATTAACCAACACTGCAACATCACATATGATACATTAGCAGAACCTGCGCCAACCCAGTTAGTAAATCACAACATTACTGAATAACACCATCTTAACCTTGGCTTGTAGCAGCAACGTCATTCAAATCACATGTCTAAGAAATGTACCACTGTCAGCGTATCCCAGGGGAGGAGCTCCCTTACCTTGAGGAGACTACGAGAGCGCCACCAGAGATGAGCAACACTGGACTTTGGTTGGAATGCACAAAATACAATCCAGTTTTATTTGTTTTTTTACAAAAAGTTTAGAAAAAGGTTACAAAAATGAATAATAAAAATGGAAATAAAAGATCATGTAAAATGTCAAAAGCACTATGTTCACAAGGGACCAAGTTTACCCAAAGACCCCAAAAGAGGCAGAGACCTTTCAGCCTCCGCAGCCCCGATCCTTTGTTGTCTCCCCATATTTGTACCCTTCTCCCTCACGCTTTCTGCAACCTCCGGGTCCATATAATGTAGACAACAGATCATTCTTAAATCATTGGACAAGACACTTCTCATAGTCTTATTACCTCCACAGACCTAGTTTTTAAGTTTAACGCTTTTCCTGCTACATTATTTGCTTGATAATAAACAATAGATCGTAACTCATCATAGACAATGGAAAATATAAGAGAATAAGCAATCTTGTATGAAACAAAAATAACACCGTGAGATAGGACCTCTTGTTGCCACAGGGGTCATGGCCCACTACTTGTCCGTTAGGTGTGAAACTACGCCTCGAGGACTTCTTTGTATACGAGTCAGCAAGGTGCTCAAACCACAGGATGCTGCCTTAACGCTTCTTGGTGTCCAGCCCCTCCCTCCAAAGGCAGACAGGTGTTAGATAGCATCAAAGTTCACCTGCATGCAGCAAAACTACAGTTTCCCCTTGTTGCACGTCTTCATTTAATCTACCATTTCCATAAGTCGATTAATCAATTTGTGTATCAATTATTTTAATACAAAAATATAGAGAGAGGTTCTTAGGGTGTGGTGTGTCTCGGACATTCATGGTGGATACCTCAACAACAGAGAACATCTGAATGATTCTTTAGTCATGGACTAGGATGTCTGGATGTTTAACAGCAGTGGACTCTGGTGGGTTGATGTTGTTCATCAGTCCAGTGAGACGGAGGCAGAAGGGTCTCCAGCGTTTTCATAGTTCACCGTACCGTCATCTTCATCTTCATCATCACGCTCCTGTAAACAACAACAACACACTTGAGATTCTGGGTGAACACGGAGCCAATAGATTTCTTTAGAAACACAGAGCCGCTCCAGAGGAACAGCTGGGTTCAGTGCCTTGCTCAAGGGGAACCAGAGTGCTGGTTGTAGGAGCAGATGAGAGCATTCACTTCAAACACACTCTTTATTTTAAAAGGCTTCCACTGCTCCACATTTACAGAACACACGAGGAAATCCAAAATGTCTTCTCATTCACCTCCATTGAACTGGATACATGCAGAGGTGTTGACTCAACTCTATGGTCACTTTGGAGCCTTTTGTTTGTTAGATTATGTTTCGTTTTGGTTGATATTTCTTATTTAGCTTCTCCCAATGAACCTTAAACCATAACTGTGAAATGATCACTTCATTTAAATTCATTCAGCACTGTTTATTCTCATGCTGCATCTTCATGTCTTTTGTAGATCTACAGTGAAAAGTAGATAACAAATATAACAAACAGTGATTTTACTCTGTAACGTCATGAATCACTGTTTAAACTCACAATGTTTTCTTCTATCAGAGTTTTGTTTCCTGAAAACACAAAAAAAGAGTTGACTTTAGTTTCAACGGTCAAATTGAGGTTCATCAGAACTTCTTGTTTCTAGAAGTTTCCTCCTGAATGTTGTCACCTGTAGTTCTTGTCCATATGTTGACTGTAACAACACTTATTATAAGTGCTGCTAAACCCACAGGAACAACGATCAACCTCCACCAGCCTGAGAAGAGAAGAGTTAGATATAGTCAGAGGGTTTCAYGATGACGAGGTGTTTGTTAGCGTGTTCTTGTGCTGTCTCTATCTCTGATATCTCAACAAAGAGGTTTKTTGTCTGCATGTCTTTTCTAAATGTAAATGTATTCTGTTCTGTTCAGTCACCTTCTGGTTTCTTCTCATTCGAGTTGTTTTCAGATGTTTCGTTGTTCATCACTCCTGCAATGCAACAAACTGTACAGTTAGAAACAAACTCAAGCATCTGACATCATGATGAAAGAACGATGTGATTTAAAAAGCTCAAATATGAACAAATACTTTGTGTGATCATCCACAAGAGATTTTAAACAGCTCATCATATTCTCACCTGAGGACTGAGGAGGGCTGAAGGTGAACTGATGCACTTCTCCAGTGGACCTATCAGTCACTTCACATTTCAATAAAGACTTTGACTTCTGATCAAGGTGAGATTTTTTAATCCTCAACCTGGCTGAACAGATATATTGTGGTGTCATCTCATCATACTGATCACCCTCATAAAGCCACTTCACTCTGTGTCTACATCCTCTATATGTCGACACAGAGCAGCTCAACGTCACCTCATCATTGTTCTTCTGTTCAGTCACTGTTGGTGAAGATGGAGACGTTGTGAGAGACAACAAGAGTAAAATCACCTTCTTGAAATCACTGTCATCATAATTATTGTAATGTTTCAGTTTATTGTTCCAACAAGACGGTTTGACAACATCATGATGTAAATACTCACTGGTGACAACAGCCAGATGAAACACGTCTTCACCTTCTTGTTTTCCTGATCTGAACTGTCTGCAGACATATTCACCACCATCTTTATATGTGACATTCTTCATAACCAGAGAACATTTCTCTGAAACACTCAGTCTGTCTGATTTAGCTTCTGCTTCAACAATCTTCCCATCTTCAAACAGCGGTACTGTATTTCCTGAACCAGTGAAGAGCCACGTAATAGAGTCACACTCATCCTGATCATGTGTCACATTCTTAAAAGGCAAAGTGACTTCATCTCCATCTCTGACAGTGAAGGATGAAGGTTCCACAACTGCTGCTGTTGAGAAAATGTAAAAAATAAACTGAAATATGAATATGACTGTAAAGTTTATTCATAGTGTTGCAATAAGTTTAAATAAGTTTAAATGTGTCTCACTCTTTGGTTTCCAAGAGTTAATAAACTCATCATGATGATACAAACAGAACCTGAACTCTTACCTCTAAAGCTCAACACCTGCAGCATCAGAAATGAAGACATCACAATCCATCTGAATTCAGCCATCGTGTTCCTCTCTTGGTTTCACGCTCTCGACTGTCAAAGTCTCCGACGCGCTGCTTCTTAAACACGAACGCAGCATCTACTTCCTGTCTTCACTTCCTCACGATGGCCCAATCCCCCCTAAAGCCTCAAACCCTGAACCCTGAACTGACGTCACCTGGTGAGTGGGTGAGTGTGAGACTGAGAGGGCTTGAAATGGTGGAAATATGTCACCATGAAAACGACATATTATGATGTATAACTGTGGGTATTTATTTGATACTTTTTCTCCCTGATTTGAACGTCTTCCAGACTCTTTCCTCACGAGATGAGAGGTCATTCATAATCTATTTACTTGTTTTTCTCAAAACAGCTTCAGTGTCAAAATCAAATATTTGATGAATAAATTAATAAATATCTTCTGATTTCATCTTTGTTTGTTCCATCTTTAACCCTTAATGTTTCTGAGTAAATGTAATATGACAGGCTGAACACGCGTGTGTCGTCCTCTTTGTTTACCTCTCCATGTGTCCACAGGTTACCCCGTGTTTAACGTCACATTGCAATGATTTGTGGGTAATTCCCTTAGGCAAAGTCTGCATCTAATGCTAACTTACGGAAAAGGTTCATAAAGGGCTCAAAATGTCTGCCACAGACTGTAACACTCAATGAATTGACAGCGGGACAGAAATAAACCCAATCTCACCGTACCAATGACGTCATCTCTCCTCTGTTAGCTGATGAATTGATGCGTGATATTAACTTTTATTCTCTCTGAGTTTCTTGTGGACGACAAGAGAGTGAAACACTTTGAAACTTTAGTTTGATTTTATTAAAATCTACATTCTGATTGAGGGAGAGTAAAATAGAAGAGGAAGTAGAGCATGTGAAGACTGTTAGTTAAGATAAATGTTTGCAGCAAAGCAACACCTGTTGGTTCCTCGTTGTGTCTTTGCAGCTTTTCTGAGAACTGAAGGAGAAGTGTTCTGGTGAGAATGTGGGTAACAGCAGCAGCAGAGATCTGGAGGTTTGACCCTCTAGTGAGGACATGAGACACATAAATGATGAACACGTTCACGAGTGTCTGACGCAACGTCTCTAAAAGCCTAAATGTTAACAAGTAGCTGAACTAGTTTGTTTTCAACCATAAATCTAAAAAAGTTGATGTTTTGTCCGAGTGTGTGACGTCACCACGTCAGGGTTTTAACGATGTGAGAATAACATGGAGTCATCTAACAGCTACAGTTAAGAGGTCATGAGCATCCACAGTGAACCTCTGAACACAGCCTGAGCTCACATCACTTTAGGTGCATTCAAATGTTATCTAATATTTTTTCAACATACTATGACTATTTTAAAACTATTGTTGACATGCTACACTGCGATTTTTTTTGACATACTATAATATGCCTTTTTTTTAATTTTTTCAACATTTACTATGACTTTAAAACTATTTTTGACATACTGCACTATGACCTTTTCATGTTTTTTGACGTATGCAGTAGAACATCATGGTATTTTTAGCACGCTACATTTGACAGACTATATATTGGGACATACTAAATCCTTTTCTGCTCAGCACTGGAACGCACAGCGAGTGTGAACGAGACAACAGTCATTTACTTTATTAGGCTTTATTTATAGAACAATGGAGTAAAAGAACAAAGAAAAACAACATGAAGAAAGACAATTAAAATGATTGCACGAGGAGCATTTTACTGCGTTTTACACATTTGCTCTTGGTTTGGAGACTGAGGCCACCTGTCCTCCTTCCCGTCTGCATCTGCATCCACATCTGCAACACACAAGACCTCTGTAAGACAATCCATCTCGCTGGACTCTCTGATGTCCATACAGCTATTAAACCCACCCTGCTCCACATGTGAGTGACTTTATGTTTCCGTGATTTATTCTAATTAATGTGCCAACAACAATAACAGTGGTGCCTTCAATCAAGTGTGTCAGTCACCCATCAGTGTCCCTTTCATTTTATCAGCTTATAACAGACGTAAACCACAAACACTCCAAACGATGCTTGCATCGAGTCAGTTCATGAAAACTGTTCACGGAACCACACCTCCTCTAACATACACTTGTCACCAAGATGTTTTACATCAACAAGAGGAGACTAGATATTTGAAACACAAGTCCCAACACCTCATGCGTCCGTTAGTAAAACCCTCAGTGGTGAATATTACAGCGGTTACCCGTCTCTGCGTCGGGTCTATCAGGAACATCGAAAACCTCTGGTGAAAACAAACAGCTCAGGTGTTTATGACGTTAAGATTACGAGACAAACAAGAAGACAGAGAGGTGAACTTTAGATGGGGCTGACCTGGGATTGTTCCGAGTTTGGAGTTATTAAAGAACTGCTTGGGGAGGGTTCTGGACAGCATCTCGGAGCTTCCTCCCGCCCCCCAGAATCTGCTCTTGGGAGAGTCGAGCAAAGAGACCTTTGGAGAGTCCAGCAGCTTCCGGGGAGAGTCCAGCAGCTTCCTGGGAGTAGCCAGAAACTTCTTGGGTGAGCTGAAGAAGTTGGAGGTGTCCGAGGTCATGGAGAGGCCCCTCTTGGTGGGGGTGCAGGGCGATGAGGGCTTGTCCACCTCGGCCTTGGTCTTCCCCTTCAGCCTGGTGGCTCTGCTCTTCCACTTGGTGATCTCTTCCTGCTGACTGGACACCAAGCTGATGTGACAGGGGGACAGATATCAGAGGACTAAAAGAAGCCGCGAATCACATCAACCACCCAAGCGGTTCCACCCTCACACAGGTTCATCTCACCTTTCCAGCTCAGTTATTTTCAGTTGAAGCTGGTTGACTTCCTGCTCCAGTTTGTTCTTCTCCAGCAGAATGCTGGTCTTGATCACTAAACCTCTGGGGTTGGTCAGTCTGGCATGAAGGTCCTCACCCTGCAGGACTGAATTCAACACGACAACACCATCATCATGACTACGCTTTTGTTTTGAAAGGCATAGCTTGTGCTGCGTTTGAAGCCGTCTTAGTTTGAAAACGGTTGCGTTTAAGTCCTGCAGACGCCCACATTCACTCCTTGATCGGGTATCAGACGCCCCATCACATGATCGTTTTTCCGGAAGAAAACAAACAAACATCAGCCTCGACTACCAGTGGTTCATTTCAAAATAGATAATGAATTACAGGCGTGGCCGACCTTGTTTCTCTCTGCTAGCAGCTGTTGTGCATTTCAATTCTGCGTTCTATGATGTTACAACTGCCTACATGTGCAGCAGCCCAGATGTTATTCGAGTGCTTTGCAGCCAGCATGCCGAGTGTGCGTGAACGCTCATGTGACAGGTGTCTTCAGGCCTGGTAACATGGAAGGTCCCTTGCTGGAATCGAACCAGGGATGTGACGTAGCGTACGCTGTGACCACTCAGGTCCAGGAAAGAGCTGATAAACCCCCTCAGTGGTTAGCAGCTACAAATACAGAATCCATCCCCTCTAATTAATACTGTTCACACTATAAAGCCAATCAAAACATTATAAAAGCACATGTTTGTTCACCCTCTTCCCTTCAATAATCATATAATGACAAACAGAAGGGATTAATTTTGTTCTCGTAATAAATTAATATTGGTGAGGTTATTATCAGATAACCACTCAGCTGCAGGCAGAATAACTACATTTCCCATAGGACACACACTGCTGACTCACATGATTCCTCTCCTTCCTGCTGTGATTTCCTCAAACTCTCCTTCAGCTTCCTCACGGACTCTTCCTTTTCCTTCAGCACTGTGCTCATCATCTGGATCCTGAGAACAGAAACCTCTGGTGAGATCGACCAGATCAAACATTTCACCGTCCGCTCACACATTTTGAAGAACGGCTGAAGTCAATACATCGGACATAAACCAGAGGGCTCTTACTCTTGTTTGTGGTTATCAGACGCTGAACTCAACTCCACCTCCATTTTGAACAGTTTACTCCGGAGTTTTTCCAGCTCAACAGCGCTGGGTGATGCATTTTTCTAAAGCAGAAAAATACAAATATCATAAATACAGCAACTGTAAAAGTATGAGACCACGCCTCAGATTGGGAGAGAGAAAAGAGGCCGCTTCTGGAGACCGAAGATGAAATGTTGAAGTGAACCTCAGACTGGCGCAGTTTGCTCTTGAGGGTTTGGATCGTCCCGTCCTTCTCATCGACTTGTGCGCGGCTGTCCTGCAGCTCCGTCTGCAGCAGCTGGGTGGCCTGTTTGTGGTTGGACAATCTGTTGCTGGCTTTGACCTGAGCCTCCTCCAGCTGCTCAATGTGTGCGCACAGAGCCTGAAAAACACAAACACGTCCGTCAACATCTGCAGGAAGGCATTTTGAGAGGAGACATTGGAGGCAGGTGCTGCGCATAGAGACGGGTTAGGGAGAGACATGTTGCTACATGATGCCACCAGTCATGAGCGCATGTAAAACAAACATGAAAAACATGCTTTAGACATACTTTGACTCTTTCTTCAGCTTGCTGGAGCTGAAGCACAAGTTGCTGGTTGTCCTTCAGCAGGGTGAGCTCCTTTTTCAGAGGAGCTCCCTCCAGCAGAGTAGAGGTCTTACTCCTCTCCTCTTGGAGGCGAGAGTCCGCCTGAGACTCCAGCAGCTTCAGCTCCTCACACAGACCGTTTTGCTCTTCCATGATGGCCTGCAGGAGTCAGGAGGATTATACGACTCTACAAAGACCAGCAACATCACTGAGATACATCCACGGAGGAGAACAAGCAGTGCACTGACTTTTTAACGCAAATACAAATAAGTACAGTGAATGAATGTTAAAGACTACCTGCAGGGTCATCTTCCTGTCCTGCTCCATCGCAGACCTGTGGTCCAGCTCTCCGCTCAGGATGCCGTCCAGCCCGCTGAAGCTGAAGGACTGGCCGGTGAAGACGGCCTTCAGCTGCCCAGTGAACCTCTCTCTGGCTCGCATCTCAGCCAACAGCTCGCTGGTGTAGGAAGCCATGTTGGCCCGGAGCTTCCCATACACGCTGGACATTTTCTAGGAAGCCCAAAGAGTCATCATAAAGGGTTTGAGTACAGTAATGTTGGAAACATAATGAGGAATAGGACACAATCACATATAATCCAGGTCATGCGTCATTGAATCCTCCTCTTAATCTGGATTACGTAATTTGCTAAACGTCTCATTTGAGTGTGCCTCGCTGTGTGGAAGTGAGTAGGATCATTCTTCCATCCCAAAGCTCACCTGCAGACAGAGCTGCCTCTTGTCCAGCAGCTCGGTCAGCCTGCCGTCCTCGTCTTTGAGCGAGCGGCGGGGTGCCTGCGCTCGGCACAGCAGCAGATCCTGCCGACGCCTCTCCTCAAAAACGGCCAAATCTTTCTTCACCAACAGCTTGAAGAGATTCCTGTAGTCCTGCGCTCGCACCTGCAGGTGCTCCTGTGGAGGCACAGAGCGGGAGGTTATCAGCTGATCAACAGAGGAAGATCATGAGATTTCAAATGGGGGGAAAACAACGGGTTGGTATTTACCGGAATGTTTCCCAGAGTCCGAGCTGTCTGCAGCTGCAGCTGACACACGGTGCTGTAGGCGTCCGTGGTGGGTTTTGGTAGAGTGCTCAGGTGACTCAGCGAACACAGCATCTTGTCCGGGGCTGTGGAGCTGTACTTGGAACAATCGTCTATGAAGGTTTGGAATCTTCCGAAGGACTCCTGCAATGATACGAGTTCAGTGGCATCAGAGATGTGTTGCACTGGTGCGGTAGAAGGTCATTGCCTTTCAGCTGCTCATAACTAAAAAGAATAAATCCTTTGGCGACGTTACCTGAAGCTGCTCAGCAGAGTCCTGCAGCCGGGACGCCGACGCCGCCTCCTCCTCCTCCTCCTTGACTCCACTGGTGCTCTGATCCAAACTGCTCAACTGCTCTCTGAGGGCTGAGATGGTCGTGTTCGCTTCGCCGAGCAACTGAAAGGAAAAATAATAATTATATACATATGGCTCTTCTCCAACTCAAGCTTCATCAATATTTGAATCTGCCTTTTCAGATGCATCTGCATGCTGACAAGACAAGAACCACCATTAGGGTGAGATTTGATCATGTTTTATTCATACGAATACCATCATCGATTCTGCTTACCGACTCCCTTATTGATTACTGATCAATTTTCTGTGTAGAAAATAACGTATAATGTCTGTCTGATAACATTTGAAAATGTCTCGGTAGAGATCATCCATCATCACTCAAAGGGTTCGCTTTGAATTTATCTGTCCTGTCAGATAACGTAGTTTACTATGTGCACATCTGACTCCGTCAATAACTCGACTACAATGGCATTCAACCATCATATCAAGCTACTGTCCAAAGTGCATCTCAGGTTTTCCTGACAAAGCTTTCTGCAGCTTATTTAAGGGAAAGTTCCAGGTCATCACAATTTGGGTTTTAATTTGTGTCCACTGTTTCCAGCCGTTACGATATCACTCTACTCCCCACAGTAACCGCTGAAGTTTGGGAATACAGCAACTTCCTGGAGTCTTGAAATCATCAAGAGGAGCCTCCAGGAGGTCACTGCACCCAGCCAGCAAACAGTCTGGTACTTAAACTCCCTAAAACCACAACGTGCCAGTGTACTGTACACTCCAGCTTTTTAGTTGTAAACTGTTAAATCGGCAACTATTTTAACAATTGATTTACCGGTTTTAGTATTTATTTTAAGCAATTTAAGCATTTTTTTCTCTGATTCCAACTTCTTAAATGTGAATATTCTCGGCTGTCTTCACTAATAACTAATACAGTGATAGTTACTGGGCTTTAGAGCCGTTTCTAAGTGGCTGTTAGCTGTAGCTTCACATGTAACTGTTGGAAAGAAAGTGAATAAGCCTGCTTTCCAAAGTATGTCAAACTATTCCTTTAAGTCTATGTCAGTGAATGAGTTGGACCCACCGTTTGTTGCAGCTTGATCTCTTGTTCATAAACATGTAAATAATACCAGGTCCTGGCAGGTGTGTTACCCCAGGAAACAGGACCAGATTTCAGAGATAGTTCCTGGGATATAGCCGCGTCTCAAGTTAAAAGATTTATCCCCGAGCTCCTACCGTCTCCATCCTGTCCTCCAGCTCTGCTCTGAGCTGCTCCTTCTCCCGTCTCAGAGCCTCCAGAGTCTCCTGCAGCTGATCTCTCTCCTCACTGAGAGACGTCACTCTTAACAGCAGGTCCTCCTTCTCCTCTGTGGAGGTCTGACCGCTGGTCTCCTTCTCAGAGAGCAGACCGTCTCTCTCTGCTTCAATGCTCTGCAGTTTCTCAGTTAGAGTCCTCATCTGTGAGGAAGGGAGCAGTTAGACGGTTCATCCCGCTCTGAAAACAAGTTTCATAGATGCACAGTCTTGTAAAATTAGGTATTAGACACTAACTTGTTGATCCAAAGAGCGTTCCTTCTCCTGAAACAGTTTGTCCAGATAAGAGTTCATCTGCTTCTGTTCACACAGCTTCTCTTGGAGTGACTTCACAAGTTCTTCTGTTGTGGAAGCCTTAAAACAAAACGTAACTTTAGCCAGTCAAATATGAAGATGCGTCATCAGGAGATCAACAGTTGTACGAGTGTTTGTCGATGAGGAATTCCTTTAGCAGAGAGCCCTACAGATAAGTTGGAGTCCCTTTTGATGGCCGGTTGCCTCACCGTATCCATGCTCTGCTGTAGATCATCTTCCAGCCGCCTCTTCTGCTCAGTCACAGTCTGCAGAGACGTGTTCAGCTGTGCGATCTGGTGAAGCAGATACGAGGCAGCTATTCATCCTCCAGATATTTTACAAATCATCCAAACACAGAGGACATTTTTAACGTCACATAGGACAGAAATGGAAGGAAAGATGTGGATTCCACAGTCAAGGGAATTTAAAGCCAATGTTACAAATGTAGCAGCAAGCAGAAAGTGAGTTAGGTGCGTTTGAAAACAAAAACTGATGAAAACAAAGGGCAACTCGTTGACACAAACCTCAGTCTGCATGGTCTCCATCCTGTCCTCCAGCTCTGCTCTGAGCTGCTTCTTCTCCTGTCTCAGAGCCTCCAGAGTCTCCTGCAGCTGATCTCTCTCCTCACTGAGAGACGTCACTCTTAACAGCAGGTCCTCCTTCTCCTCTGTGGAGGTCTGACCGCTGGCTTCCTTCTCAGAGAGCAGACCGTCTCTCTCCACTTCAACGAGCTCCAGTTTCTCAGTTAGAGTCCTCATCTGTGAGGAAGGGAGCAGTTAGAAGGAATCGTTTGAAGTGTCTCTTTGACTCCAGCTTCAGATTTAAACAGTTTATAATCCAACTATATCATAGACCAGCTCCGGTCCATGTTTACTTCCTGTCAGCTGATGTCATTCACAAACACTGCAACAGGAAATAAACTGGGACACATTTGGAATGTTTACAGCTGTGAAATAGTCCATCACAACTGCTACAGTACTGTGTGCAGCCCTACCGAGGCCATTTCATAGAGGTATTGCTAGCAGACACAAACCTCCGTCTGCATGGTCTCCATCCTGTCCTCCAGCTCTGCTCTGAGCTGCTTCTTCTCCCGTCTCAGAGCCTCCAGAGTCTCCTGCAGCTGATCTCTCTCCTCGCTGAGAGACGTCACTCTGCACAGCAGCTCCTCAGTCTCCTCGCTGTGAGTCTGAGCGTCGGCCGTCCTCTCCGACGACAGACCGTCTCTCTCCGACGACAGACCGTCTCTCTCCGCTCGAACACTCTCGAGCTCCTCAGTCAGCCTCTGAATCTGTCAGGATAGAAAGGAGACATGATTGTTATTCAAAATGAGTCTAAAAATCAGTTGATCTATTAAAGAGAGGTCCGCTAGCATTAGACAGCAGGTTCACTGTGTGTTCTTTATGTATGAGAATGTAGTCCTGCCTGATTTTGGAGCTCTTGCAGTTGGAGGTAAATCTCTGCATCACTCCCATCTCTTGATCTGCCCTCCAGCTCGGCCTTTTGACTCCTCAGCTCGTTGATCTCATCTTGTAGAATTCTGACCTTCTCCTGAGACGCCCTCAGCTCCTCCTGGTTCTCGATCATCTGAAAGAGATTCACCACGATGTGAGTGAACGGGGGAAGATCTCCTCCGTGCAAAGTCACCAAAAAAAGAAGTGTGCAATAACAGAGGACTTGACTGAGCTGCACAGAGCCCTGACCCCAATGTCCACAGTTCTGAAATCACATGTTCAACTATCGCATGTGGCTGGAACAGTTTTGTCCATAAAGCTAAAAATCTGAACTGTAAATTACGTTGAATGCTTAATTAGAACGATTTAGGGAATAAAGAACTCACCAGTTCTACGTTTTCTTGCAGGTCAGACTTCAACTGGCTCACCTCCTCCTGAGTTTTCTCCAGACGCTCCTCTAGCTGTTGGATCTGAAGCACAATTAAAGTTTTCAGTATTACTCAAAGTGTCTTTATCGAGTAACGCATGTAGTTTGTAGCTCAGTGCAGCGAGTTGTTTCTTGCTTTCTTCAAGAGTTTCTGTTCAGTGTTCGGGGACAAATTCCCAACGAAGTAAAATGGAACTTAAGACGCGAGGACGTGATGTCCCTGCGGTGTGAGAATAAGTGAGTGACGTGATCAAACCTGCAGAGCAGAGCAGTCGTCCTGCTCGTCCTTCAGCGACTGAGGCTCAGAGCTGAGCTGCTGCAGCTGTAACTCACACTGCATCTGAACAACAGAGACAGAACAATATGTCCACCGTTAGGACTTTCTGTGAATATAGCAGTCTTCTCCCACAGATTGAATACATATTTCTACTATATACACAGACTGTTTACATGCATGCACACAAATAGAGATAAATCAGATTAAAACAATAGTTTGATTTAACTACACAGGGCTGTTCACAAGAGCAGAATTCTTATCAAAATCAGATTTTCTGAGACATTTGAGTTTGAGTATACTCTTTATGAACAATTTAGACGATGTGCATGTTAGTCTTCAGCCTGTAAACACATGTAAATACCAGGTCCTGGCAGGTGTGTTACCCCAGGAACCAGGACCAGATTTCAGAGATAGTTCCTGGGATATAAGTCTCAAGTTAAAAGATTTATCCCCGAGCTCTTACCGTCTCCATCCTGTCCTCCAGCTCTGCTCTGAGCTGCTTCTTCTCCTGTCTCAGAGCCTCCAGAGTCTCCAGCAGCTGATCTCTCTCCTCGCTGAGAGACGTCACTCTGCACAGCAGCTCCTCCATCTCCTCTGTGGAGGTCTGACCGCTGGTCTCCTTCTCAGACAGGGCATCCCTTTCTGCTCGCGCACTCTCAAGCTGCTCGGTCAGAGTCTTGGTCTGTTGAAACAAGATGTCCAACTTGCAGTCACAACACCGACAATGAATGATCAGTTTAAAACAATATAGATAGTCTTTGTCAACATGTAAAATCACCTGTTGATCCAAGTCAGACTCCTTCTGCTCACAGAGTGTCATGTGATCGGAGTAAAGTTGCTTCTGCTCTTGGAGCTCCTCTTGAAGAGATTGAATATGACACAGAGTCTCTGCAACCTACAAATAAGAGAACACTCTGTAATTCAAAATAACATCAAAGGGGATCCAGTGCTTCTGAGAAGGAAGACTAAACATGCAGCTTAAGTGAAACATGATACAAGGAGCAGACCTGTTGTTCTAGCTGAGCTGGCCTCTCTGGGCTTCGTGTCTCCAGGTCCACGTTCCTCTGATTCTGCTCTTGCAGCTGCTGTTGAAGTGAATGTAGAAGATCTCGAGTCTCTGTAGCCTGAAAACAGAAAGAACATTTCATCCATACAAGAGCAAATGTATAAAACTCTGAGCAAAATCTCTTTCACATAACTGGCAGCGTGATCGCACTTAAATTCCAAAATGTTCAATCTCAGTTTGACAAACGATCAGCTTCCCCTCACCGTCTCCGTCTCACGCTGCAGATCAACTTCCAACTGGCTCTTCTGCTCGGTGACGGCCTGGAAAGTCGCCTGTAGTTCCTTTATCTGGGGAGGGAAATGCCCACATTCCAGAACTAAAGTATTTCAACCAGAGAACCTGAGTTTTGTTAATCTATACCTTTCCCACAAAGAGACCAAAACCAACAAACAAGACTGAAATAACTCAACTGCCGTTACCTCTTGCTGAAGATGGGTTACATTCTCATCCTGTGGTTGCAGTTCTGAGGTCACCATGTCTGGCTGGTTAAACCCACTTTGGGCGAGTGCGACCTGTGACAGTAAAAACAATGTTTTTCTTATTTTCTTTCTAGGCAGAATATAAAAAAATCAAATTAACAAATACCAATATTAACATACCGTCTCCATCCTGTTCTCCAGCTCTGCTCTGAGCTGCTTCTTCTCCCGTCTCAGAGCCTCCAGAGTCTCCTGCAGCTGATCTCTCTCCTCGCTGAGAGACATCACTCTGCACAGCAGCTCCTCAGTCTCCTCGCTGCGAGTCTGAGCGTCGGCCGTCCTCTCCGACGACAGACCGTCTCTCTCCGCTCGAACACTCTCGAGCTCCTCAGTCAGCCTCTGAATCTGTCAGGACAGAATGGAGACTTGAAAATGAGTCTAAAAATCAGTTGCTCTGTTGAAGAGAGGTCCGCTAGCATTAGACAGCAGGTTCACTGTGTGTTCTTTATGTATGAGAATGTAGTCCTGCCTGATTTTGGAGCTCTTGCAGTTGGAGGTAAATCTCTGCATCACTCCCATCTCTTGATCTGCCCTCCAGCTCGGCCTTTTGACTCCTCAGCTCGTTGATCTCATCTTGTAGAATTCTGACCTTCTCCTGAGACGCCCTCAGCTCCTCCTGGTTCTCGATCATCTGAAAGAGATTCACCACCACGTGAGTGAATGAGGGAAGATCTCCTATGTGCAAAGTTACTAAAAGTGTGTGCAATAACAGGGTAAGCAGACTCCCATTAAGAAGCAGGGAAGTCGTGTGCCATCTCATTACTAGAGCTGCAACAATAAGTCGATTAATTGATCACAAGAACAGAAAGGTCTTTAAACGAGAGTGGGTTGAACCGGAAAATCTACACTATTAGCAAGTACTGAATAAAGTATTCTGTATCGTTACTAGTATAGCATTTTACTGATATTAAAATGAATTATTTAAAAACCTAAGTAAGCACAGAAGTATTGTAGTAATATTGTTTTCCAGATGCATTAAGAGAACTCTTACCAGTGTTTTCAGCTCCTCCATCCGTGCCCTCATCTCATCGGGTGAATCCTCCCGTTTGGTCTCCAGCTGTTTGATCTGCTCCTTCCGTTGTCGATTCTTCTCCAGGGCCGTCCTCAGCGCCTCCTGATTCTCAATCATCTGTTTGGTAAAATAAAGAAGTATATACATATAATTTATTTTTAGCTACGACATCTAGAGACAAAAACACACAGCAGAGGCCCAACACAGCTGGTGATTTAAAATGATTGCATTTTTAAATCCTGGACTCACCATCTCCACGTTTTCCCGCATGTCTGTCTGCAGCTGGTCTCTCTCTGCAGTGAGCGCTGTGACTGTAGAGAGCAGCTTCTCCGTCTCCTCTGCAGAGCTCCTCTGCTCAGACAGGAGAGCGTCCTGCTCCTCTCGCACACGCTGAAGCTCCTGTGACAGACTCAGCAGCTGTTGGATTAGATTTCCAACGAACAGTCAGTACATTGACAATGAAGGATTAGTTTAGATTTATTTAAAAACACTGCTTAACTACAGTTTGACTCACATGTTCCCTTGATTCAGACTCCTTCTGCTCAGCGAGGTTCACCAGATCAGAGTTCTTTCCCCTCTGCTCTTGGAGCTCGTCTTGAAGAGATTGTAGAAGAAGTTGTGTCTCTGCAGCCTAAAAATAATGGAAAATATTGCAAATCAAAAAAACCAATAAAGTTGTTTTGAAGAGGGACACTTTAGAAAAACTCAAAGTAACAGCTGGGGAAGAGTTGACATTGAGCAAGCGCTGTGAACTACAAAGGATGGGAACAACTCAATGCATTAACCCACCATCTCCTCGTTCTCCTGAAGGTCCCTCGTGAGCTGGTCTCTCTCTGCAGTGAGCGCTGTGACTGTAGAGAGCAGCTTCTCCGTCTCCTCTGCAGAGCTCCTCTGCTCAGACAGGAGAGCGTCCTGCTCCTCTCGCACACGCTGAAGCTCTTCAGTCAGCTCATTCAGCTAGACGTATCCAAATAAATAAAACCTTCAGGTTACGTTCAGGGTATCACTACTTAAATCGTTCTACACGTTTCAATGCTTGAACAAACACTATAAACAGAGAAAAGACGACAGCAAAAGGTCTCCGACTCGACAAGGACTGCCGCCATGTCCGAGTCTTCGAGTAATCCAACAATCAGGTCGTATCTAATTTAAGAAATCCTTCATCAGCTGCTGCATCGCCTTCAGTTTTTCTTCCAGTGACGCTCTGTGTCGCTCACTCAAAAGACTTTGTGGTGGGATCGGGACGTCCCGATCAAATGTTCAGTCCCCTATCCAATTCCTTTACTATTGTAGTCCAATCTGATAATTTTAAAAATGAGCTGGAAAGTTTAAGTGGAAGAATGCGACTCGTGAAGTTGATGTGAAACAGAAATGTTTCAGATGCCCCATCTCAACCAGACACTGTCCTCAGAGGATGTTTGGAGGACTCACCTGCTTCGTCAAATGGTCCACCTTCTCTGGAAGAGTCTGGAGCGAGGCGAGCTCCTCCAGCTGAGCTCTGAGGGCTCCTTCTGCCTCATGAGACGCAGTCAGCTCTCGGTTCAGCTGGGCCACGGTTCTCTCCAGCTCCATGCTGTCTATCAGATCTGGAGACAGAGAACACCATACATTAATGTCTTCTCTAATGGACCTCGTTTGCAAGACTCCCGGACTTTAAAACGTACTTTTTGGGACTTTTCCGTCGAGCAGACTGGTGAGCTTCGTGTTCTCGTTGAATGCCACGTTCAGCTCTTTTTCGAGATCGCTCTGCATCGCTCTGAAGCGCGACTTCTCTTTCTCCAGCTGAAAGCGCAGGCTGTTCACCTCAGCCTCCATCTTCGAGGAGCTGGCGCTCAGAGTCACCTGGAGGAGGGGATCACGACGAGAAACTTGAGATTAGTATTACAAATGAGTAAAGACGATGGACACCTAGACAAAATGGCAGACCATGTACTAAACATGCGTCACTATCTCACGGATTACAAACTATCTAAGTCACCGTTTGCTGGTCAAACTTTCAACATTGGTGTGAGAGCTGTCAATAAAAAGTCAAGGACTGCCTGAGAAGCAGATTTGTGTGATAGAACAAATGTGATTTTAGTAGAATTCAGCAGCTATTGAATTTACCCGACCTGTGTTTTAAGAAACAGAAGATTTTCAGACTTCATAATTGTGTTGTGTGTTAATCCTGCTCACATTCATCTCCTCCACAGCGATGTTTTTGCTGCGCAGGTGGGCCCATTCCTTCTTCGTGTCTCTGCTGAGCCCCTCGGCATCATCCAGAGAGCGGCGGAGCGTCGCCACCTCCTGCACCAAGTCCTTACCGCTCTGCAGGGAGGCAACACGACACAGTCAGCCCGCTTAACTATTCAATCACCTCAACTGCTTTAGGCTCTTACTTTATTCTGAATGATCAAACTTGCTTCGGCAACACTGAACTATGCCAATGAAACTATTTTGAATATAAGTGACAGGAAATGAATCAGTTTGTAAAGTAATCCATTCAGAATTCAGTCATTTTCCAGCAAACAAAAAGATTTAGGTGATGTCATTTGAAACCAGATACAGCTCACTAAAGTCTAGCAGCACACACAACCTGCCTGAGGCCCATCTCACTTTATGGACTGGCTTTATGTTTAAAAAGGTAATAAGAAAACAATTAAAGAACACATACCATACTCTGAAGTTCCTCTGCAAATACTGTTTTCTTCTGCAGCTTTTCAGACAGAGTTTCTAGTTTGTTCTTGAAAACACAAACATGTGAAGAGTATTTAACAAAACTGCTCCAATCTTAAGGTCTGACTTGTAATTATATGAATATTAAACATCTTACATTTGTAAATCAACCACTTCTTCCTCAATATCTTAACATGAACTCAATATTCTGAAGGGATTCTTACCTGAAGCTCCAGGCATTGGAGTTCAGAGGATTCGACGGTCCTCTTCAGTTCAGAGATTTCGTTTTGCAACTCATTCTGTAAGATCGCACAAACCAAATGAACAGAGTGTAAATAAAACCCAGTAGACCCAACGCTACTGTCCTCTAATCTAAAGCACTTTAAGTGGCGTCTTAATGGAATCAGATTAATTACCTCGTGCTCTTTGCTGAACTCCTCCTCCAGAGATTTGAACTCGTCCATCTCTCTTTTCTCCTCCATCTCCGTTAACAGAGCAGCTTTCTCTTTCTCCAGACGCTCCGTCTGCTCGATGAACATCCCGAGCTCCTGCTTCAGATAGTTTCTCTCAGCCGCCACCATGTCCTGTAAAAATACAATTCAATATATTTAAGCATTGAAATTGCATTCTTCTAATGCTCTTTGTTTTCACCACTCGTAGCTTGAATAAATACGGATCCTGTTGTTGGAAAAGTAACGGCTCAATTCAACCTCATAGCTTCTATACCCACTGATGTTTTTAGCAGCTTGTTGCACTAGAGTCTCTGTACATCGTGTTCTCCCTAAATACAAATAAACAAATCATCCATGTGGAGAAGTTATAAAGCTTTTGTTGCTGTGCATTGAGCAACAAATATATGAAATGATTCAGAACTCTCGTCGTTTGAAAGCCAGATTAACTTGAAATGAATACCTTGTAAGGGAAACAGAACCTTTGAGTCAAATCTGAAAGTAACATTATAAACATACATACATACATACAGGAGAGAACACGGTTACAGCTTGTTTTGCTGAGTTGTGGGATGAGTTAAAGTCACAGCCAAGGCGCTCCATTACACATTACCTTCTCTTTAGCCAGAGTCTCACACAGCTGGATGGTCTCTGCAAACTCTTTCCTCATCTGGAAAACAAAGTATGAAGATTAGTACTGAAACCAGCTCACACAACCGAGCCAAATGAACAGCATGCAGAAGGTGCTCCTCTCTAGTGTACTTGAGGATTTCTCCTCAGCACACCTGTTCATCAGTTTCACTCCGAGTGTGGCTCTGTTCTTCCAGCCGTCTCTCCAGGTCTGCCACTCTGAACTCCAACATCTCCGCCTTTTCATTGGCCTCCCGTCTCTGCTGTACCTCTGTCTGCAGCTGCAGGAGCAGCTCGGCCATCTTCGGTTCCGCCGTCTGCATCTCCTCCAGGGCCTCCTGTTGCTGCTGGTTCTCCGTTTGCAGCTGAAGCTGCAGCTCAACCTCGGCCGCCCTCAGCTCTGCCGTTTGCATTTTCTCCAGGGCCTCCTGTTTCTGGTGGGCCTCAGTCTGCAGCTGCAGCTCCAGCTCGGCCACTCTGCCATCTAAAGCGTCTACCTTTGACATGGCCTCCTCTTTATGTTGACTCTCCATTTCCAGCTGTAGCTCCAGGTGGGACACTTTCCCTGAAAGCTTGTGGATACGGTCTGGAGACGAAAAGTCTTTGGGGCTGGAAAAAAAGAGAAAACATACGGATGACTAACGTGCGACTACCTACAGACAATCAAACACCAGGGTTTTGTTCCACATACAGCAGCCGTAGTATACAGTACAAATATACAGTAAAGAATGTATTGTTGTAGGATGTACGACAGCGAGCGACGCAGAGCGAACTGTACCCAGCATGCCGTTCAACCGCGTAAAAGTGAATATTGTAGCGAGCGACGGAGTATTTAAATAGTTAAAGTAGCTCTCTTTCAAGTGAAAACTCCTATAACTGTCAGTATAACAGACACTCACCTGTCTCCAAAGCTTCGGACAGTCACAGAGCTCTGACTCATGTCCATGTCATCTGAAGGCTCATCGGGAATCTCCCAGTGAGAGTCAAAGTCCTCATCCTCTGTTGAAACACACCATGTATGCATTTAACTCATCAGCGTGCAGAAATGGGAATTATTAAGTGAACTTGTTATTTGCACGGTGCATATATTCTATGTGCTCCTCCTTACCTTCACACAGATCCGTCAGACAGGAGCGGCCTGCTTTTCTCTGATGAGTGAAAGACTCTGCAAAGCTGAGGTCAGATGGACCTTCATCACATGCAGACGGAGGGGCAAGTCTGAGCATCTTTCCTCCCCACGTTACCCTGCGTTTTGGCCTCTAAAAAAAACAGAAAGAGAGTCATTACAGCTATGATAATCAAGAGAAAGCTGTGCTCTAACTACAGCGTTATTTTGGCTCATATTCACCTTTCGAACAGGAACCAAGTTGGAGCTGGTGACCAGCAGTTTGGTCAGGTTTCTGATCCTGTCCTCTTGTTCTCTCTGGAGCTGATCCTTTTCTTGGAGCAGCTGGGAGAGAACCTTCTTCTCCGTCGCTGTGGTCTGAGTGTCTGAAGAGACCTGTAGGGAGGTCACACACACACACACACACACACACGCACACACGGGAAGTGCTGTTATAATGGGACTTGAAGAGATTGGCACATGGCTGAAGGAAAAAAAGAAGACACTTGCCTCGTGAAGTCGTCGCTTGAGGTCTACAATTTCGTTGCGATACCTTTTGAGCAGAGCCCCGTCATCAGACACCTCCGTCACATGAGGGTCGTTCTTCATTTTCTTTGCAGTGCTGGCAAACTAATACAAAGAAAGACTTTGTGAATCATCATCTTTTAAAGTCTGGTATGGCTGCACTTTATGGACGGGCAACATCTAACTGCAAACCTTGCAGAAATGTACAGGGGAACGGAGCTAACCCTATAAATATAATATAAACAATATGATTGTATAACAAAATATGGAATGTATATATTAAATGTGCATATTTCACAAACCTGCAGAGTGCTGAGCGTCTCATCCAGAGCGACCGGAGTGATGGTGCAGATGATGACTGTTTTAGCGTTTCCACCCAAGGAGTTCTGCAGGATGCGGGTCAGCTTACTGTCTCTGTAGCTGGTGAAACCCCTGAAGAGAGACAATGGTTTTAGCAAATGTCAGCGAATTGATGTTCAACCAGGCGTCAACCTCCAGTTCTGGAAAGTGAAGCCTTAAAGCTGCATTCTCTCTACTGACCACCAGGGGGCGCCTCCTCTGGTTGTATAGAAGTCTATGAGAAAATGACTCTACTTCTCTCTTGATTTATTACCTCAGTAAACATTGTAAACATGAGTTTATGGTCTCAATCTCTAGTTTCAAGTCTTCTTCAATACAGCATGATGTTCATTTAGTACATTATGGTCCATTTAGAGTCAAACAGACCATAAAGCAGGGGATGCTTTAGGGCGGGGCTACGTCACTCCTCCACAGTCCAAATATTTTTCTCTGATCCAATAAGAGTCTGAAGAAATTTCAGATTGACGAGGGAGACCACTTACAGCTCTGAGGAGTATATTAAATGAATAGTTCATGTGTGGAAATACTTTCATTCACTTTCTTTCTGGGAGTAAGATGACAAGATCAACATGAATGTCATGTCTGTGGGATAAATGCAGAGCATTGCAACACTGATGAATCAGAAGATGAAAATATGTGGTACACAGTACAACTCAGACAGTTATTGGAGGATACATTATTAATAGTTCTGTTCAGACAAGCAGATACGTCTTTGCAAGTATGTCGTTTACTTACTTCTGGCTTTCATCAGTCAGTTTCTTGATCACTTGGCCGAGCGTGAACAGGCTGCGATTGATATTGCAACCTTCTTTGAAACGTGTGCCTAGGACATCAGAACAGACGGGTTACTGTAACGTATAGACTGTAGTGTGCGATCAGTAAACTAACATGAATCCATGTGTCCATGAACTCCATCTTACCTTCAGCTCCGGTTTGACTTGCTCTCTCAGATCCAGCCAGATCAACTAAGTTCTAGAAGATCAAGCAAACGAACTGGTGAACAAATAATAATAACACAAACAATAAAGCAAGCCAATAAAAAAAAAAGAAAAGAGCTAGCGTACCAAATGAGACACAATAATGGCTCCATCAGCATTTTCACCCGATGCAGAGTCGCTTTCTCTGCTTTCCAGGATCTAAGAAGAACCAAATCATGAAAAACACAGATTTCCCAGAATCCTACATGTTACTTACTACGCGTTGTGGCGTTGCTTACCATTCGGAAAATGGTGTGCGAGCGGCTGCTCCGCTCGTTCATTTTAGTCTTTCCATAGTGGCGGTTCTCTGCGGGGGCAGACGGTGCAGAGAACACATTGGTTGTTACACACAGTCTGCAGTGTAAATGCTGTAGGGATCAGTCTCATGTTCAGTGATCTCAGATCTTACTTTCTCCTTTCCGAATCCAGGCCAGAGCTTGTCCAGGATTCGTAACCAGCTCCTCAGTCAGGTCAGCCACGTAGATGTTTTTCTGCATGTTTTTCAAGACACAAACACAATAAATCACATCGCTCTGCTCTGCTCTCGTCTACAAATGTCTTTGTGTTGAGATTATTTAGACTCTAAGCTCTAAAAACACTGGATCCTACACTTCCCATAGTAACTCGGTTATAATTCTCCAAAAGCCCAAGCTGAGATGACATGATGGATGACTATTGAGTATAAAGTCGTCCTTTTAGAAATGAATGAGTCAGCTTCTATTTTATGATTTTACTCTCGAATACTTTTATTGTCTTCAGAGCTTTAGCTGTTAATTTCAATAAGTGTTTGTTTGCCGTTTTTCTTTTACAGCGTTGTAAAGCACTCTTTTGCAGTTTTGACAAATGCTTCATGAAACATTAGTTTGGATCAACGTCATCTTTAAACCCTCAGGGTTGGGTTCTGGCAACTAGTTCCAGTTGAGATCCGCTTCTGGTTTGGGAACACATCCAGAATCGGTAAAACCTCAACGCTAACCTGTAAAATACACAGCTGCATTCAAAACCATTCAGGTAGCTGCTTCGAATTCTTAACCAGCACCGACCTGATAGGCGGAAGATGGTGAACAAATGGTGATTACAGATCTGAAGTCAATGATTGAAGATGAGTTACTTGCTAATGTTAAAAACTAGACCTGAAAAGATTCTATGAGGAATTGAGATTTGATAACTTGTAAATAGGCCACTTACATTGATTCCCTCTCTGACTTCCAGAGGTTTTCTCTTCCAGCTGTCAACGAGCAGATCACTCACAGTTTCATTGTAGATTTCCATGTAAGAAACCCTCAGAAGGAACTCCTTCTTTGAACACTTTTGGGCAAAAGAAATGTTCTTTGGTTAAAAAAAAACAAAAAAAAACTGTGATTACACAAAATCAACTGTGGCGTGTTTCAAACCTGATTCAATCCTTACATTTTTAATGGTGTGGAAGACATCTTCCACAGCCAGAGGGATCACTCCATGAATACGATTGCTCCCCATCATGGTGAAAGTCTTCCCTGAAGCAGTCTGCCCGTAAGCGAATATAGTTCCTGTGGATCAAACGCACAATAAATACACAAAATAAACACCAGCTACAGTGAGTTAATGCAGTAACGCATTACCAGCAGACAGGTCTCACTGTATTCCGTTTCTATCACATACCATTGTACCCCTGGACAGAGGAAACAACCAGAGGCTTTGCAATGCTCTGGTACAGCTGATTGGTTGTTTCTTCTGCGATGAAAACTCGGTCTGTGAACAACAGAGCAGGAAAGTGAATGTACAGCAGATATCTGTTATGCATGTGCAAAATTTCTCAAAAGGAGCCACAAAATCCAGGAAACACATCTCTTAATCCTGTACATGCTGCAAAACGTACCGAAGACAAAGCTCTTAGTGGAATTCCCATCATCGATCTGATGAATGGATTTCTTGTCAGCCTTCCAAAACACCTGGACAGACTCCGCGTTCTCCGACGCAGCGCTTTCTTCCCTGTAGCAACATAGTCGGGTGACAAAGTTTACTGTTGCTCTGTGAGAATTCAGTTGTGGCTGAATTTCTTAAACACCCCCGATGATTTTATGAGGTTTGGAAGCTCAGCAGAAACTAAATGTTTGGAGGAGAAATCAAGCATCTCGTTGGTATAGATCTAAATCCATATCAATAATATCACAGATTAGAGTCTTGATTCTCAGATTCATTTTGATACGAGAGTGGCAATAAAGGCACATTATATTAGAAGACAAAACCTTTATTGTTAATTATGCGACACATAACCCATGAGTACATCAGCACACAAGGAATATATTCCGATGTACATTTGCAAAGACAAAGCATTTATTCCTCATCTCTGACATTTGTTTATCTTGTAAGAACAAAGCATTTGTTATGGCTGTCAAGATGCTATGAAAAGCAGAAGAAAATATTCCCAAAAAAAGTTTCACATGTAGTTAAAATAAGTGCAAAAATGTTTCAGTCGATCTGCCACTAAAGGGGGAATTTGGGATGGTCTCGAGACCCTCCCAGTGGATGGGACAATCCAAAACAGGTCGAGGTGTAACATGAATTATTTGCTTAAAGGAGTAACTTAGACCGTGTTGTCTTTGAACACACATATTACTGCAGGGGAGAAGTTACAGACAGAGTTCAGTGGGTCCATTAGAACAATACAACAGTCATAACTTAAGCTAGATGTTCAGTAACGTTACGTTACTTCCGTTGTGACTATTAGGACACTGTTAAAAGCTAACGTTACGTTATGGCATTCATTAATTGGTCCTTAACGTCGGAAATTAAGTGAGCGACCAAGTCCTAAGGTTGGTAACAGTTAGTTAGCATTAGCATTAACGCTGGGTAACTTAGCGTTAGCTCCTAACTAACGTTAGCTAACTAAGAACTTATACTCTGATGGCACAAAACTTACCTCTCAATAAGCGGACGGACTCGAACACAGACTTTAACTGCCGACTCTTCCGTCATTTTTATGTTTTGATAGTCCCCCACCAAACGCGTAAAATCCTAATACATATTTCAAAATTGAAATCCAACTGCCCTGGGCACACTCGTCGTGTTATTTGTTCTTCTTCGCTGTTTAAAATTGTCCCGCTTTCTTTTGATTGGTAGACGTCATCAGGTGGACGGATCCATATATGGTTGTGTAAAAAAAATAAAAGTTACGTTCTAGCTACATTTTTTTTAAATATCTTCTAATCAAATATTAGGCGATGTATGAGTGAGTAGATCTGAAATCTAAAATTATTTTTTTAATTCAATTTTCTTTACAGAAAAACCAAGTGACATGGTAGCGACCGACGAGTGACGCGTTAGCTAGCGACTGTATTGTTGGGCGTCATCAAACCGCGTCTAGTGAAGTGTGGAAAACACATGAGAAAGCGGTGGTGGTCGTAGTAGTTCAGTAGAAGTTAAACGTTTACAGTACTTTAAAGAATCAGAGCTGTTAACGAATCTCGGCGACGTTAGTTGATATTCAGGCTTAATCATTTCTAAATGCGGAATAGCTGACAAGTATACAAAAACCTTCTTGGAGTGTATTATCTTGCTTTTGAAATGTCTCTTTTTCTTGTAAACAGGTAAAGTTACTGTTATTTTCTGCACTCGCTTCCATAGTTTGTCCTTTTGTCACATAGCTACATGATTTTAGAGTTATATAGATGTGCGTAGCTTCTGAGATAATAAGTAGAGTTAGTTTTCACATCATATAGCAAAAGTAATAAGCAATACATTTGTCTTTAACAGGTACAAATATCAGAAACCTGTCACATAGAATATACATATGATATGTCATACATGGTAGAACTGTCTAATACTGAGAACTTATTATCTGCTTGGTATTATTAGCTTGTATCGGCTAAGGTATAACAAAAAGCATGTAAATAACAGACACTAATCTATTATTTTGTTAAAATACCCAAAATAAGTATTAATTACTGAAATGAGTTGTGCTTTATTATATTTGGGCACACACAACAGATCAGCAACATTTTATTTTTAATAACATTTCCTTTAACACGTTTTTGACAAAAGTGTAGCTAGAATCGTATAATTCTACGGTCTGCCGTGTTGTTGCTTATGCTGAAGAAGTGGACTGAACAATCTGTAACATATTACATTCTGTCGTGTTTCTCACAGGTACCTTGGAGAGGAGGAAAGTGAGAGTGTCTCAAAGGAGTCCCGGTCTCAGGCGTTACTGGCTAAACTGCAGCAGAAGGCAAAAGAGAAGCAGAAACAGAGTAGGACAGAACGTCCGCCTAAAGAACGGACGGAACAACAAGATGTGAAAAAGAAAAGAAAAGCTGACAAGAACAGCGGTCAAGAGCCTCAACTGCACAAAAAGAGGAAATCAGAAGATGCGGACTCTGATAATCCCGATGAGCCTGTCGAAGAGGCAAAGAAGAACGAGAAACAGAAGAAAAAGAAGAAAAAGGTTCAGTCAGGTGTGTATAAACTCACACTGGGTAATCTATTCATATCACATCATTCACATGATCGATGTTATGATATGATGACATTCCTTCACTGTTATATTGTGCCTTTTAAAGAGCCCGACCGACACATTGTTATGACCAATATTATCAGCCGATTTTAGGTCAGTGCAGATAATTGAGTGCCATAATGTTTAATTATTTTAGATGCTACATTTATAAGCCCAGCGTGGTATTTCACTTGCTGAGCCCTGCACTGCAGAAGTTCTGTTACGGCCGGTTGCAAATTGTAATGTTGCTTCTGTAATACACGTACGACATGCAGAACAAAAATATGCCCTCAGATGATTCAGTTTGTCTGTCTTTGGGATTTTAGGCATTTCAGTTAAAGATCTGCCAGAAACTCCTGTGACAGGAAGAGACGGACAGGAGGACTCAGGAGGAGGAGAAGAGGAGACGGAGACAGAAAACGTGACACTAAAAGAAACCACAGAGAAGACTTCTGCTCCAACTGGATTCACGGTTCTGGGAGGATTCGAGAACAAACCTGTCCAAAAGGTACAGTCATTCGTTTGGTGGAGCTTAAAGGCTCTCCGATAGCATTAGCATTAAACCTCCGGAGTTTTAGTGTGTGTGTTCTTCTTTTCTCAGGTACACAGAGTTCTGCCTCAGTGGCTCGCTCAGCCTGATGTGATTCACAGAGACATTAAAAGCAACCTGGTCCCCATCTCTGACCTCCCGGGACTTTCTGCTCTGCTCGTGAAAAAACTGCAAAATAATGGAATTCAGCAGCTTTTCCCAGGTGATGACACTCGGCTGTATTTCCTTACATTCAGCAGCAAGTTTCTGAAGTTTCTTAGTGATCCAGAACCGGCCTGTACATTTTCATTTAATGTTGATGTTAGTTCAAATATGTCTGATGTGTTCCATTAGTGTTATTTGCTTTATTAGTTTGTGATAATAAATCAGATATCCATCTCTGGAGCTGAAAAGTTCACTGTGAAGGGATGTTGTGATTTGAAAAGTCTGGTGTATTGGTGACTACATCCACTTCTATTATGCAGTCTGTGTGTACAGTATATACCTGAGGAACAAAGTTCTGAAGAATATTGTCCCCTTTTCACCTTTTCACAGTGCAAGCAGAGGTCATCCCGGCCATCTTGGAGAGCGCACAGCAGGGGCTGCTGATTGGACGAGGCGGCTACAAGCCCAGAGATATATGTGTGTCTGCACCGACGGGCAGTGGCAAGACTCTCTCATTTGTCATACCTGTCGTACAGGTGAGCTTCCCTCAAAAAACCTTTAAGCAATGGGTTTGTGCGTGTGTGAGAGAGAGAGAGAGAGAGAGAGAGAGAGAGAGAGAGAGAGAGAGAG